GCGGTCCAACAAAATTACGGCAGCCCCACCCTTACTCTTCTCATCAGTGAGACAGGTGAGTGCGCACTTATACCTACTTCCTTGGTGCACACCCACCTCCCTTTGAGTCTCCACCTCCAAGACACAACATACACCACATAACCATTTATGTCTCCTATTAAACTGAACTTCCAAAATTCCCCACTGTTCGGCGCCATTTCCCTTTTTCCTCTGATCACGGAGCAGCCGGCTTGCTTGGTCTCACAATGAATCCTGGGATACCGAAGGCTACGGAGGATTCAGCGGACCTGACCTTCAAAACGGGCAAAAAGAAGGACGCATAGCGAGGAGTCCGACCAGACCTCAGCGCCGCTATGACATCATCGGCCTACGAATCTGGCCTTCTGAGGACGCAGCCCAGAAATTCGAACTCACCCTTAGACTTAGACAACTTTAATTTCCATTTTGTTTAATCAGAGTGTATAGAAAATGGCATTTCGAGTCGTCTGGTCTTCAGCAGGTTCAGGTCACTGACTCGTTCAAACAGAAGGACTCATATTACACCGATTCTAAAAACTCCTCATTGGCTCCCAGTCTCTCTTTTCCGTTCCAGTTTAAAATTCTGTATTTTAGTTTTGTGAAGCACTTTGTGACCTCTATGTCTGTGAAAGGTGCTATAGAAATAAACATCACTGACTTACTTAACCAGAATTTCTGTTTTGTTGTTTGCTGCCTTCTTTTTTTATTTTTTTATTTAGTCTTCCACTTTAAAAAAAAACAAAACAGAAATTCTGGTGAAATGTTTTATGACGCTCAGTCTCATAATTGTAATTTCTCTCTGTTTAATCTTCCTGATCCGGTGACTGACGGCAGAGATTTGATCTGCAGCTGAGTTTCAGGTCCAGTCCTGCTGTTGGAGGCCGTCTCTGCTTTGGGACAGATTTTTTGTTCAAACCAGACAGGAACTGATCCAGTTGGTTGTTTTTAGTCCCAAACTGGGCTGATTAAGGATCCAGTTCTCCTGTTGAATGACTGAACCGTACTGAAAGCATCGGGACCGACATGAACACTGCTGCTCTGCATGATGCTGTAACCAACTTAGCAATAGATTTGATGAAGTAAAATAAATTCAACTGAACAAAAACAGATGGGATTAAATCCAAGCAGTAAAATATCAAACATGCTCTTTATTAATGGGAAGAAATCGACCAGAAACCAAGTAAAAAAATGAAATTCAAAGTTGATTAATTAGCCATTTAAGCTTTATAAATGTTTCTAAACGAAAACCCTGCTTCACTGACAGTTTATGTTAGATTTCTGTTTCTGTTATGTTTTTCTTTTGCTCCTTGATTTCTAGTGTTTAGTTTTCTTTTCACCATGTTTGATTATTCTAGTTATCTGATTATTATTATTATGTTGTTTTCTTATTAGTGTCAGGTTCCTGTTTCTGTTATGTTTTTCTTTTGAGTGTTCTGTCTCTCCTTGATTTCTAGTATTTAGTTTTCTGTTCACCATGTTTCATTATCCTAGTTATTTGATTATTATTTTGTTTTGTTATGAGTTCCTGTCTTCCAGCTTTTCATTTGTTGTCCTCTGCTGCCCTCTTGTGTCCTCTTTCTCTTGCTCTGTTTTCTGTTTTGCCCTCACCTGTTTTCAATTTCCCTCATTAGCCTCTCCCTGTCTCTGTCCCCTTTAAAAGCCCTTCCTCTTAAGTTCCTGTTTGCTGGATTGTCGTCTAACTTCCCTTCAACCTCTGATCAATCTTCTGTCCGTCTTACTTCTCTTCCTGGTTCTTAGTTTTGGTTTTTCCCTGATGTCTCCTAGATTCTGGTTCAAGAGATATTTTTGTTAGATTTTTGACTCCTGCCTCTGCGCCTGTGAGCCTCCAGCCTATGTGCCTGAGAACCTTAATTAAACTACTTAAATTCATCTCAGTCACTCGTCTCTGCATTTGGGACCTCAAACCAACACCACCATTTCATGACAGTTTATCTTCTTATGTTATTTTGTCTTTCAGTTTTTTTATGAAAATTTTATCCAAAAATTAATCTTTGAAAAACTTCTTAAACATAAAAAAATTATGTAAGGTTAATGCTCATAAATAACAAAAACAAAGGGAACTCACTCGTCTTAAATCTGCAATAGTCAACCATGAGGTGGATAATTACAAATTAAGCAAAACGTTGAATATGAAATAGCAGAAGAAAAAAATATTTAGCTAAATACATAAACATTAAATATCAAAATAAGGCCAAATTAAAGGAGTCAGTCATAGAAATAATCAGCTGATGATATTTGTGTTTGAAACTGGACAGCCGCACCACAGTTCAAGCAATAGACAGCTGCCTTTTGTATCTATGCTTCTTTTTCTATGTCTGCTTCTGTCTCCTTGAACCCCAG